AATTTAAAGACTGGGAAGAATGAATCTGTATGTCTGTTTCAGCAAGGATTGATCTTATATGTTGAGTAAATCAGCATTTGCAATTATAAAGCAAATAAGTGATAAGCATCAAATGGATTGTTTTAGGACTCCCTTTGTTGACTTTATTCCATGATAAGGAGCAGTTTCTTTGTGACCTTGAATATGGTGAAATAACTCATGCTAAACGCGTCGCTACAAAGTTGGCATTTTGGCAGGACTTTGATGTAGGTCACTTTATTACCAGGCTGAATCAAACTACAAACTGATCTTATGCTCATGCCAAGAATGCTAATAATAAACTGATCAATGAGGTGCTGGATTGTTCAGAGTGGTCGGGGGAAAAGCAGACATAAAACCAGTGGAATTCCAAAGGTTGAAATGCTAGTGCCATTGTGCCGGTAAGAATTATATGACTTGCATTAGCCTGATTTGTCTTTACTCCAGGGGGGCTATAGCTGCGTGTCAAGCTGGACAGTGTCAGAAAGTATATACTTATCTTTATTTTTTTTGACCTTTCTGTGCAAGTAATTTTTATAGTTTCATTAACTAGTAAGATCATTTGCAAACCATTGTACAAAGTATATTATGAAGAACGCCTTGGGGACCACGGCATCCTATTATATGGAATGTTAATAGAAAGAAAAATTAATTTAAACTCTAAAGATTATAGCAAGACAAGACTTCCCCATTATATTGGGGAACTTGAAATTTTTACTTGTAATGGTTATACTTCAGAGAAATGCCATAACCTGACCTTTTACGTGGACATTATAGATCTGATTCAAATCAAAGACAATAGCAGGGTTCCTGATTAGTTGCCTCCTCAAATAAACTGACTCTTGGCAAATTAACCTTCCATTTAGGAAAAGGGCTTTCTGTGTCATCTGAGGGGGGTCCAGCCCTGTGTAATTCCATTGTTTTCAATTGATTTGCTCCAGTGAGGTCAGAATTGAGCCCTGCCATATTATTTCGCCAAATTAAAAGATCGCAGAGTACAGTGTGGCTTTCTACAGTGCTCTTAGTACTTGATCTATTCGAAACGGCTTTAAAACAAGTACCACTATGGTCACTATGTAAGTGCTGATAGCGGAGGGCCCAGTTTTGGCATGGCTCTTCCCCACCCTGGGTTGCGCAATAAACTCTCGAACTGATGTGCCCATTTGCCCTGCTCGTGGGGTGTGAGCGTACACAGCACCTGAGTAGTTTTGGATGGAAGAATGTGTCTTCCTCCTGATGTTGAATTGAGGGTCGAGAGTGACTGCCAGGCAGGCTGCTGTGTGCAAGAGAAAGGTACTGCGTGCGCAGACGTGTGATTGGTCAGTGTGAGAACAATGCCCATTGTTGGGCTGGCAGCACATAGCCCACCTGAGAGTGAGCATGAGAGAGACCACCAGGGAACAGACTACCAAGTGTGTGAGACATCTGGGTGCTGGGGTCCTTCAGTACGTGGAAGGTCCCAAGAGCTGGGAGCCAGCTAAAGGTTTGTTGGCATCTGTGGGCCAGGTCTCCAGAAAGAGCCAAAATCCTGCAGGTGGTAAGGGTGGGAGCGGCCGCAGACGGCGTCCCCTTTAGCCTAGCAGAGAGAGGCCATACGAATGCTTCCAATCTCTGATCTGGGAGTGGGGCCAGCTGAAGGCATGCAATGTTGAATAAGAGTGCCCAAGAGGCTGGGGCGCCTGAGGGGGGCCGGGGGGGAAGGGTCCGTGTGAGGACCGAGTGTTTCTCCGTGGGTGAAGCTACAGAGTAGCGTGCCTTGCACCCTTGGAGGCAGCTTGAGGAACAGGGTGAGTGGAGGACCTGGGAGGCCGCTGGCTAATCCTGAAACTTTAATTAGCACAATATTGATTGTGGTTATTATTGTTGTTGATTAATTGGCTGTTGTTGTTATTCGTATTGTTGCTTTGTTGTTGTCCCTACTAATAAATATCCCTTTCTCCCCTTGGAAGCGGGTTTTATTTAGGGATTTAACCAAGTCTTATTAGGGTCTGATAGATGGCCTGTGCCCATACCTGCCCCAATCGTAATTTTAATTGTTGGTTGGTCTTTCAGTCAACAGATTGGTGACCCATGTGGGACCCAGTTGGCATGATCTGACTAGCCACCCAGCACTTGTACCTCCGATGCACTTTGTCCATCATGTTTTTTACATCACAGCAGCATGCTGTCCGAATGCTTTTAATGAAGTTGAGCATCCAAGTTTATTAAGGCAGAAGTTGTCGCAGGGGTTACAGAGAGAGGTAATTTTCTTCTGCACTGGGTAAACTGCTGTGCAGCAAGGCACGTAGGGTCAGTGGATTCTGCAGATGGGACATTGATGGTAAGGAATAGGCATGAGACTTTCCGGATCTTTGTGTTTTCATTTTTCCTAGTCTTGCAAGAAGACTGTAATGTGCTTCATTTTTCTGTTTTGTGGCAAAGTTATAAATGGAAAAACGACTTCTGCCTGTTAACATTCTTTTGTCATGGGGGAAAAAGTACATGAAAATAGGCTTTTCTTGTTTTGCAGTCAGGGGAAATCTTTTTTTTTAACCTGCTTTGTGTGGCATAAAATAATCTGCAACATACTTTTATGGCTGTTTCCACCCAAATTTAAATGGACACTTGGCTGGAATGGTTTAGTCAGGGATGTTCCTACCTTGAGCGGTGGGCTGGACTAGATGACCTCATCTGGTCCCTTCCAGCCTGGCTTTCCTATGATCTTAATAAACCAGTATTACACCAGAAATGCCAGTCAGTTTGACACACTGCTTAGGGGCTGAAGTACTTCTTGTAATGTGGAGAGAGAAAAACAATCACTCAGTCAGCCTTCTGGCTCACAGCATAGCCAGGAACTATGATCACCTTGTGGAAACAACAAAAAGTGCTACAGAGCTTTATAGAGAGGAGAGGACTGACTTGTTTTAAACATAAATAAAGAAATGTAAGAATTGAAAGTGTGCCAAATTTCAGGACCAAATTTGTTGATCACATTTACCATTGTAAATCAGGCATAGCTCTGCCAAATGCGATACCGTAACACTAGTAAGAATAGGATCTTGTTGTAGACTTGAACTGTGCATAGCACAGGCTGTTTACAGTACCTCATACAGATCGCCCAACATATTGTGCCTTTATATTTATTTGCAGCTCCACTGCTCTTCCTGATCTGAGTTGACCAACAGCTCTGAAATGTCTGCAAAAATAGGTGGTGGCTCATATGTCTATATGAACAAATCCTGTTTTTCTAATGCCCCAGCCTAGATTTGGTCCCATACCTGCAACCCAAAGTCAAGTCACAAAGCAATGAGTTTAGAGTATTAGCTGTCAGTATTTCGTATCTCCTGCAGTACTATCTGAACACAAGATCTGAGTAATGAATCAGTTGCAGTTTTGCCAGCCAGACTGAACCCGGAAAGGAATCCATTGATACAGACCGCTCTTGCCGTCCTGGTAGCGAGTCAGAACTCCCACTGATGTAGAAGTCCAGTTGATGAACCGTTCGGTAGGCTAAAGACTACAAGATTTGTCCCATCTTTGGGATAACAAGAATACCACTTACAAACTGGTGCTGGGTCTAAATCTGTATAGTTTCCTGAAACAGGTTTCTGGGTTCAGCCTCAGATGGTCCAAATTCAGAACACTAACTTGAGCATCCAGACCAAAAGGAAAGATTCAAGAAGGGAGCAAATCTTGTGCTTCAAACAGTCCAATAAGAACACCCTACTATCAGTGTTCAGGTACATGAGTAACCTGATATCCCACTAAAGGTAAAGGGGAGGAAAGTACAAGGGTTTCAGGTTTGGTACCAGCCCTAATAATCAGTTTTCATGTGATTGTTTGTTGGCTGAAGTGAAACGAGTTTGGTTGTCTTAGTCTAGTTCCTGCTGTAATATCTTAAAAAAGATATTCTCAAAATGCTTTCCTTGTGACCTTGTTTTACAAGGCAAAAATAGGGTTTTGCTATGGTGTCTGGATTCCTCCCTCTTGGAGCGGCTCCTTCCCGAGCCAGCTTCAGCAGCCCCTGGGATAAGCAGGCCCAACAGCCGTGACTTCCAGGCAGCTCTTAATGGTGCAGCAGTAGAGAACACTTGTGAACCAGTGCTCACACTATTACCTGTGACATCCTGGTATAGACAAGCGTAAGGTGTGTGCAGCTGAGCACCAACAGTCACTAGCCTTGCAGAACTTTCACTGATACTCTGTAGGCCAAGCCAGAAGCCACATAGTGGGCTCAAGTGTCTGAATTTGTTTTATAAGCATTTTCTACATTTTCCCTATGTGATGGGAATGCCAACGTGTACTGTAAAATAGGTCAGCAGTCGAAGGGGCATGGGAGAAGAAATGTCTTCAAACAAAGAACTGTTCTTATTAAGGAAGAAGAAAAGGAGCTTCTCTTAAGTAGATTTCTAGCCAATTGACAAGTGAGACAGGAAATGCAGCTAGTTTTTCATAGCTGGAGACTGGGGGAGATTGAACTCTCAGTAATCCACTTCTGGACAAATAAGATATGGGGCATTTTTAGTTATGGAAAACTTGATGACCTTGAAAAGACAGGGCTATGACTTCAGTATTATGTAGTAAAATGATTTCTTTTCCTCTGGCTATTTTTACAAATCTATTTTGGATCTTAATACACTATTAAGACTCAGTTCCTTTTTTGGTTATGAGCTGTAGCCACTTTGAGTGCATTATAAGAAGCTGGCATTCACCAAGAATAATCGTCCTAAATGTCAATTTGGTAAAAGTTTTATTATGAGGAAAAATTGCTATCCAAAGTAATTTCTGGTGTTAGATTTTTTTTCCATTACAAAAACCAGATGAGGATATGAACTTATGTCCAAAAGGGACTCTCACAGTTAGTTTGGTCACCTAATATATTATTTCTGCAAGTAGGATTTTGCTTTGTTTGAAACAAAATATTGATCTTTCAGGAACAATGACAGCCTGTGCTTGCTGCTCTCCATATATGTTTTACATTGCTTTATTTGCTTTCTTAACAGCTCTTTGCACAGAGGAGTGCGTGCATGGACGATGTGTATCTCCTGACACTTGTCACTGTGAGCCAGGCTGGGGAGGTGCTGACTGCTCCAGTGGTGAGTACAGGCTTAGAAGAAAGTATTAAAGACACATATGTTCCTTTTACAAACAAAAGAAATTAGTTGCTTCGGAACATGGCTGATTTAAATGGAAAATAAGGTGTACTGGTTAATTTGCAAGTTAATTAATTTGGGCCATCATCTTACCTCTGCTAATAGAGTGGTGATGATTTTCCATGTTCTTTGTTGCTTTTGTTTTTATGAAGTTCTGTTAAATGCAATGGTGAATGCTTTTAACTCTTTCTTTCTCATCAGTAAAGCATTAATGATAGATGTTTGTATAAAGCTATCTCTGGTGTGATACTTTTTTGCCTCATCTACTAGCTAGGCTGCAGTTCTTGCCAAAACGCTTCCTGTGATGGATGACCATTCCGGATGAAAACATGAGCCTGTTGAAGTCAATGGGATTTTTTTCTATTGATTTGAATTGAGAACGAGATTTTACCTTCTTATTTAAAACTCTCAGTCTGTGTTCTCTGAGAGGAAGGGTGATGGCGCAGGGTGGGAGTTCCGTGTATTTTAGATATTTTCATTAGGAGGTTCATTCTCACTTTCGGGCTCTAAAACACACAGGCTTTCCAACTGAGAGTATGTCAGGCTCTTCTTAATTGGTAAAATAAGTTTTTTTGCACAATTAGTTCATGCTAGAATGAAACTGCTAGCATGATTTCCAGGGTACACATTGGAGAGTTACGCAATGTAGGCTCCATCCATTACTGACAATGGAAATAAGCTTGTTAAGTGAAGTCTATTTGTGAAGCAGGGAAGCAAATAAAGCTGCATCTAGAAAGATTCTTCAAGTCATTTACTGAGTGAACATTTCATTTTAGTTTTTGTTCCTCCCCCTCTTCCCCAGATTGATTGGTAGCTTGAAAAAAAACCCATTCTTGCCAAGCACGAAGATAATAGAAAGGGCAACTATAGAGGAAGACGCATTAGAAATATTGACAGGCTCAAAGGGCAGCAGCAGTTAAATAGGGCCCGGGGTAAAAACAGCTCCTGTGATTGAAGCCAATGGGATGGAACCCCGGCTGGCCAAGTCAGTCATCAGTGCTCTGTCTCCAGCCCTGCTCCAGGGAGGGTGGGTGCAAGAGGACATAGGAATTATTCTGTTTGTGGAGAAAGGACCTCACACATCCCCTGATAAGCAGTCTGGGGAAACGAGAGGCTGTGTATAATATTGAATAGCTATTTATAGTCTTTTTATTTTCCCCCTCAAAGCCCTTGGTAAAAATAGTTCCTTCCATTGTGAAATATTGCCCAGAATCTCAGGAACTAATTTTGCCGTTTAGTTATTTCTAAAACTGAATATGCCTGTCCTGAGAGCTGGTCAGTATTTATGCAATATATAACAATTAAGAGATGTTAAAATAACAAAGCTGGGAGGGAAAAACCTTGCAATAGCATGCACGCACAAAGTAATAAAAGTTCCATTCTGTGCGATAATGAAGACGAAAGGATGAGATGTCAGCCTACGGATAGGCCTTGTGGACTCAAGCTATCCAGTGACTCTTATTAAATTGCACTAATCTTGCAAGTGAAGATAAAAAGAAAAAAAGGTTTTTCCTATATTGAATATTTAGCTTTTTAAAGTAATTAGGAATATTAAAGCCCTGACAATGATTGAGATAGAAACATTATTCATAACTTTTATTTCCGTGCTGGGCAGTGATCCAGTATATTTCATTTATGAGGTTTCAGCTGTGGAGAGAGGAGCGTTAGCCAATTCCTAAATTAAATATGCCCTGTTAACTTTTATAAATGATACCCCAGGATTAGCTTCAAAATTTAAGCTTTCATTTTATTAATATAATTACTGTATTTGCTGGACTATAGTGTCCATTGTCCCTCGTACCATTTGTTATGTGCAGTGCAACAAGCATTCTTGTCTTAAGGTCTGATCTAACAAGCACTTACTACTACGAAGTGCAGTGCTTATAACTGTGAATGGTCTCATGGAAGTCAGCAGTTATTGAAGTCAGTGGTGCTATGCCCAATACTAAGTGCCGTGCTGGACAGTAAGTGTTTGGAGGTCAAGGTTAAATGTCTTTTAGTGTGTCCATTAGTCTAGGAACACACTAGTTTCTGTAGCAAACAGCACGTAAGGGAATTTTGTGGTTAGTATCACATCTGGTACCTTTGAGTTCCCACTCAAATGATTACATACCCAGAATGTAGGGGTACTGACTGCCTCATCTTTACTGTGGGGCCGGCTTTATGTAGATTCACGTGTATGTGAATAGAGTACTCAAGATCTCATGGGCCCCTGCTACACATTACATAGACTCATAGAAGTAGGGTCGGAAGGGACCTTGTAGATCTTCAAGTCCGACCCCCTGCCTGGGCAGGAGGGAAACTGGGCTCGAGTGACCCCAGCCAGGTAGGCATTGAGCCGCTTCTTAAAGACCCCCAGGGCAGGAGCCAGCACCACTTCCCTTGGAAGTTGGTTCCAGATCCTAGCCGCCCTAACTGTGAAGTAGTTCCTACGGATGTTTAATCTAAACCTACTCTCCAACAACTTGTGGCCGTTATTCCTTGTTATCCCGGGGGGTGCTAGGGGAAACAAGGTCTCCCCCAAACCCTTCTGGTCCCCCCTAGTGAGTTTATAGACGGTCACCAGGTCCCCCCTCAGCCTTCTCTTGTGAAGGCTGAACAGGTTCAGGTCCCATAGCCTCTCATTGTAGGGTCTGCCCTGCTGTCCCCGGATCATGCGGGTGGCCCTCCTCTGGACCCTCTCAATGTTGTCCACATCCCTCTTGAAATGGGGTGCCCAGAACTGGACACAGTACTCCAGCTGTGGCCTGACCAGTGTCGCGTAGAGGGGGAGGATCACCTCCTTGGCCCTACTTGAGATGCACCTGTGGATGCACGATAGGGTCCGGTTAACCCGGCTGACCGTGACCTCACATTGTTGGCCCATGTTCATCTTGGAGTCAGTGATGACTCCAAGATCTCTTTCTGCCTCCGTGCTCTCGAGAAGGGAGTTTCCCATCTTATAAGTGTGCTGCTGGTTACTACTGCCCAAGTGCAGCACCCTGCACTTGTCCGTATTGAAACATGTATTATGCAATTAACTGCTTAATTGCACAGTAAATTTAGACCAGCCCCACATGCAAAGCAAGACTGGCCACACATGCAAAGCAATTATCTTGCAATCAATTGGTTAATTGCGTAATAAATTTAGACTATTTTTAGACATTTTTACCACACCATAAAAATGTCAATCCAGTTATTTAAAAAAATCATCCAGCTCCAAAGTTAGTGCTTGAAAATGTATAACAGCTTTATAGCTGGTTTCTGTCCAGCTTTAATTTGAATTTTTGGCAGGGCTAACAGAAAGCTTTCTTATTATAAGTTATGTGTTGGTAACTTTGGAGGCAAAGACATCAGCCCTTATGCTTAGTGTAGGCTATTTTAACCTGTTTTCTGGGAGTAGGATCTCCTGCCATCCTCTTTTGAGTTCAAAACAGATCATCGGCTCTTTACCTACTACCTGGCCGGTCTCATCTGAAGACCAGATTTAGGATTAGAACCAACTTTATGCTGGGTGTCTCCCACTACTGCTTAGTGCTTACCCCAGTGGGGCTGAGAGCCTTGTAGACCTGGGTCCTCTTGGCACCCAAAAACATGCTATACTAGGAGAAATACCAACTGGCAAAGCCTCAACGTGAGGCCTAGGCAACATGTTGAAATTGTCCGCTTGTGGCCACAGCAGGACTTAGGTGGGATTTAAGCCTGCCTTTCCTATCAGGGTGAGTGTCACCCTGTCAGGAGTGGGGACAAATCCAGGTCCTGACACAAACCTTGAGCACAAACCTTATTGGCTTCTTCCTCTGTGGTGAGGTTTTGATGTTTAGTTTTAGTTCCCCGCCATGAGCCGTTGGAATATATGCAGCTAAATATTTGGAATAGTTACATCTCCAGTCTTCAAATTTCCCAGGCAATTTAAGTATCTTTCTCAGACTCTAAGTTTCACCTTGACCAACTCATCCTGTAAAGACAGTGTTTGAAGAGCTTACAATTCTCTGCAACTCCTCCATGACTGATCAGAAGAAATATTGAAGTTCAACAGTTGTCAAGGTTTAAATAACTTTAGATGAACTGCTAAACAGTTACAGAAAAGACCCCCAAAAACCTGTGCCATATTCAACTCTGCATGCTTTTATACCTGTGTTTTACTTCATGCTGTTGTACATCTGTTGATGCCTGGAGGCCTAGCCTTGATTTCACACTATAAAGCTGCAATATATTAAGCCTTGATTACCACAACAATAAAAAGAGAAGTAATGAGGTATTAACTAAAGAAACTGTTGAATAAAATGTTTTCAAGGTTTTAACAATGCTGAAAGAAAGAGTTCTCATTCATTAAAAGAAAAAATCATTAAAAATAAGATTTCTTGTCCCCCCTTTTAACTTACTGATTAAACCATGTTTATTTTGGCTGTGCAACCTGTTCTGGGTTTTATAGATGCAAGTGCTCACTGTGAACTTTCCTGCTCACCTGTTCAATCATTTCAAAGCAATTAACTTTCAGCAGCATGATGCAGTGTTTTGGAGTTCTTGTAGGGAGGTGATTGAATGTTGAGGTTACTTGGTCTCTTCCAGTTCTGAGTAATAGCCATCCATATTTGTGAGCCCTTACATTCCAATCCAGCGAAGCACATGCTCACTTTCTTAACTTGAAGCACCTGGATGTCAGCGGGACTTTTCACATGCTTAAAGTTAAGCTCATGCTTAAGTGCTTTGCTCAATCAGATCTTAAAGCAAAGTCCAGTGGAAAATGTCTATCAAATTCCACATGCTTTTGGATCAGGCCTTAGAAGAGGGTAAGATCTTCTTTTCTAAACAAGGACTGCCGCTCCTCGGGCCAGACTGACAAGATAAGTATTTTTCATCCTGGGGAAAGCTAACACTCCCACAGCTTTCTGGTTTGTGACCATATGTAAGGCAGTCCTTATGGCTGGGGATGGGTGTGATAAATGAAGTTCAGAGCAAGAGCTGACTTCCCCCAAAGTTTGGGTGTCAA